CAAAATGACGTTTTCCCCAGGACCAGAGAGGACACAAACTCAATACATGTCTTTTATTGTGAGGTAATAATTTCTCAGAGTTTTGCGGTTGCGGGCGGGAGTAGACATGCACACAGCGGGTGCGGGAGTGTTACACACACGTTGCGGTTGCAGGCGGTAATGGTCAGAAATTCAGCGGGAGCGGGCAGGAGCAGTATATTTAATAAAGATAATTAAGAAAGTGACACAACATGAAAATGTACTCTGTTGTGAACACAGATGACTTAATGAGGCGAGGAGGAAGCTCCCTCTTGCTGAGGAGCAGACAGACCTCCAGTCTGAGGCGGAAGCCATTGAAAGGCCTCAAAGAAGAATTAAGTAAGAATTTTGTGAACTTTCCATTCCTCCACCTCTTGGGCCTGTGTTGAATTTGCACTCATTAACTTAAAATAAATGTTTAATTCAGAATAAATGTTGTCTTGTGTGTTAATTTCCAAAGGCCAAGTAGATATGTCCAGGACCGGGCCTCATCAGAGGATGAAGCCCAGACCCCCGGAAGAGGGCTTCCCCCACCCTCAGCCATCCCCCCAGTGAGGAGAAGGTTCACCCTCCCCAATAACCTGTACCTCTGCCTGACCTGACCAATTACCAGGTAATGGAAATCTCAACAAATACCACAGTAACGTATGTATAGCAAATGGGTTTGAGTGTAGCTGATCATGTAAGTGTGGTGTTTCATATGTGATACATTAGGAAATTTCCAAAGGTTAATGAGGCAGTTACAGGCAGTTTGGAGAAAAACAATTCTGGAGCCATTATGTCACTGTTGAGGTCAATAATTGCATTTTGTAAATTGTTGTTCTTCTTCCTCTCCCTCTTCTACACACTCTTCCAGCATGTCATGACCCTGGGGACATCATTGCGGTAGGCCATTGACCTGCAGGGTCACCAGGGAACCCAGGGGGTTCCAGTTCCAACTCCCTCTTCATCTGGTGGGATGATGAGGGAGGAATCGGCTGTCCAGGTGCCTACAGTTTGCCCCAACTCCTCCCCAGGGCAGTGGCAGCAGAGGGACGACACAACATGTAAGGTTTTTATGGTTTACACTCACCCAGTCCTCACATGCCAGTTTCAGTATACAAACACACATGATCCACGCATACATACTAATATAAGATGGTTTATAAAGCTAAACACACACACACACACACACAGAGAGAGAGAGAGAGAGAGAGAGAGAGAGAGAGAGAGAGAGAGAGAGAGAGAGAGAGAGAGAGAGTCTGAATGGAAAAGAATTATGTTTATGTATTTAGCAGACACTTTTGTCCAAAGCGACTTACAAGTGATAATCGGCATGTTGCCCTTGAGGCTAACAACAACAACAACTTGACATCAGTCATGGAGAGGAGGAAACAAGGAGAGGACAGTAGAGAGGGGGGACGGGTGCAGGGACGGTGCTAGTTAAGAAGATGCTCTCTGAAGAGCAGGGTCTTCAGGAGTTTCTTGAAAATTGAAAAGGAAGCCTCTGTTCTGGTAGTGCTTGGAAGGTCATTCCACATTTGTGGAACGATGGATGAGAAGAGTCTGGATTGTCCTGAGCGTGGTGTAGGCACTGTTAGCCGACGATCCTGTGATGACCGGAGCGACCGAGCCGAGACGTAAGCCTTTGCAAGAGGATTCAGGTAGATGGGAGCCGTACCATCTCGGACTTTGTATGCTAGTGTTAGCAATTTGAATTTGATGCGTGCTGCTAGCGGTAGCCAGTGGAGCTCAATGAACAGAGGGGTGACGTGTGCTCTTTTTGGTTAATTAAAATGCCACACACACAACATGTAAATGCAAAAAATGCTTAAACTATGTTGTTTCTTTGTGTCTGAAATGCTTTTCAGCTCTCCTGCATGAAGTCCTGGTGAAACAGGAAATAATCCTTCAGCAGCGGCGCGGCCTAACCAAAATGGTGCAGGACCTTTTTGTTGCTGTTGCTGCTCTTCAGGGCCTGACCACAGGGGGAAGTGTGGAGACCAGGCACCACGGCATCTTCCCCTTGGCAGATGTTCAGGCCCTGATGGCCCTGGAGAGGGAGCTAGAAATCAGTCCAACATTGGCCCATGAATTGGTGAGCTTTTTTCTGTTCTTTACAACAAAGTTTTGGACAATGCATTTTGGCATGCACATCCAATTTATGTGTTGTTCAATATCTTAAAGTGGTAGATATGCCAAAGGAGTTAAAGGACTGCTTGTGCAGTCAACGAGCACCACCCAATTATTTGCCCCCCCCCCCCACACACACACACACATTTCAGGCCTCTGCCCTTCATCAGGCAACCATGAAACGCCAAATAAATAAATAGTGGAGCACAATGGCTATCCAGGCTTTTCTCTAAGTTTGTATAATATTTGTTTGAAAATTCAATGAAAATCAATCTTAGTTTAAAAAATTAATGAAGATCAATTTTTCTAATTTTAGGGTTCAACACTCGGCCTTGCGGGGGGGTCCACAGTTAAGGACACGGTTTGGCGGGTCCTCAAAGGAGCCATGACTAATGCCCTTGCCGAGGGCAAAATGGGAAGGTGGCCTTTGAGAGGCTCCACCTAAAAGGAATTGTAATTGGTAAGTTTAATCACAACAGTAACACGACTGTTCTATCACACAGCTGATAAAATCATAGTTTAGGATAAAGTTATTAGCCACCCATGACAATCACATTTCTTTTCAAAGTCAAAATACTTATAGTCTTAACAACTCATTTGCGAAATGGCACGCAGTGCGCCTGTGAATGTCTCGTAATTATAACACCACGCTATCGCTGGCTTCAAGACAGCTATTGCCACTTTGCCCGCAATGTGACGCGTTCTTCAGGGTGAACTCTCGCTCGTGAAATTCTTGTTTGGTTTTAGTGTCAGGAAAGAACTGCTGGTTTGTGTTTGGTAAAGTAAACTGTGGCAGTGTAAGTACTAAGTGACTATGATGATTTCATGTTGTAACTTTGGCTGTCACTTTCAACCCCATATGACGAGATGCATCCATTAACTAATGCAAAACTGACTTTTTAACTAGCCAGTTACTTAGCCCACCACAGGTCTCTTTTGCATGGACTGTTGCGTCGCCCTTTTCTAAGTCTTTCTCCATGTGTATGCCTTTATTTTCAGCTGCAGTGAGAAGGAATCCGGTCTGTGTGGCATCTACGGAGGCAGAAATTATAAATGCAATTAAAAAATGGTTCTACTGGGCTGGGGATAGGGACGGAGGGCGCAAAAGGAGAATGCCCGCCCAACCAACCCCTCAACCAGCCCAGGACTCAGTCCAGGACTGACCTTTACAAAAATAAATAAATAAAATATTCAAATTTTACTCTTGTTTGGTTTTATGTTTATGCACCTCGTACACACAGTAACCTAGGCTATTTCACAAGGCTATTTAACTGAGGCACAAAATCTGAATCTTCTGTACAAGGACATTTTATAGTCTATTAAAATATTAAATTAAATTTAGCATAAGGTTCAGAATAAAATACAATCTTTTGGTAAACATATGGCTAATTATGGATAAGTTGTGGTTCATATTTGGCTTTATTATGGGGTTTTGGGATGGTTATGGCTATGCTTTGGAAAGCCACATTTTATTTTGGGTGATCTTTTGGCAAACGTATGGTTACACTTTGATATCCTTTGGCCATTTTATGGTGTTTTGGGGTTCTTTTGGTATAGTTATGGTTGTGCTTTGGAATTCCACAATTTATTTTGGAAGAATTCTGGCAATCTTTTGACAATCCATAATTCTATTTTGGCGTGCCTTATTTGGGCCATATTTGGCCCATCATTCCACCCAAAAGAGTACCAAACTGGCATAACAAACTAGTGCCAAAAATGATTCTGGCAATCTTTTGACAATCCATAATTCTATTTTGGTGTGCCTAATATGGGCCATATTTGGCCCATCATTCCATCCAAAAGAGTACCAAGACTGGCTTGCCAAACTAGGGCCAAAAAGAATTTGCTATCTGGGATTATTACCCGTTTCCAACAGTTAACAATTCAGTTAAGAATTCAGTCGGAGGAATCTTCCCGCTTATCTGAATCTGATGCGGCTCTCTGTGCTTGTAAAGTAATGAATGGATATTTAAATAAAATGCTTTATATTTTACTGAATTAATTTCATATCTAAAAGTCAATTCTATGTAAAGATTATCTGCGTAAACCTGAACAGACCCAGTCCGGTCTTACTGCGAGACCGGGTTGACGGGTCGTGCGTAATCATATTGTTTGATGTATAAGCGCTGTTAGTCAATAATGTTGTATATTAATCCAAAATGTTCAGGAATGTTTTTATAAGATCTTAAAGGCAGAAATATATGTATATTTTTAAATCAGTCTGAAACCACGTGATCGGGGCCGATTTCCGATCATGTGATCGGATCGGGACATCCCTACTTTTTACCTCTTCGTTCTCGAGCTTTGATTTTGGGTCCAGCTCCTGTTACTTGACAGTTAGCCCTGCGCTAGCTAAGTAGCTACGGCTATCTACAGGCTTTTTAAAAGCGTGGAGCCGGGCCTCCAATTCTGACACCCTCGCCTTCAAAGCTACAAAAATGCTACATTTATTACAGGTACCATTATCACTAAAGGAGGCAGAGGAGTAACTAAACATCTGACACAGAGAGCAAGAGATAGGAGACGGAGAAGCAGAGACAGAAGTAGCCATAGCCGTGCTGAGGCTAAGCTAACTGGGCGAGCAACCCGTTCAACACCAAATGCGTGCGAACTCAAATGGTTCCCTAAAAGCTAGGTGGAACAACAGCAAATGTGTGTTTTAGTGTGTTTATGTGCTACAATAACTCAGATATGTCCTTGTACAGAGAAATCTGATCAATTTTAGCGAGCTGCAAACACCGAACAGCAACGCGTAGTGCAACACTGAAAACAGGAAGTGATGCAAAAACGCCTTATCACATTAAGTTTTTTATGTTGTGACTTTACCCCACTAGGGAGACAAAATAAAAGCATCAGCAACAACAGAAAGCTGGGGTGCTAGTAATGCAGGTTTTATTCATCAGGAATCAGAGCCAAGATCAGAAGCGTGACATTTCACACCCGTCACCTCCACCTTAAGAGGAGAACGACACACTCCCACTGCATGAAAAGATTCACGTTAAAACTGAACGGGAATGATTTTCATTCTGAACTAGGCTGCAGAGCAGCACAAACACTAAAGAGTGTGAAGTCCTGAGTTTTGGTTTTCTGGTGGCAGTAGTGCTGCTCTGACTCAGGTCTGCTTCAGTCTCCTTGCTCTTCCTGCCGTCACAGCTGGACTTCCTCTGTAACAGTGAGAAACACAGTGGTGGATCAGATCTGGGACCAGTGGCGACGTGGCAGCTCATACGGACTTACAGCACTTATAGAGCTTGGTGAGGCGTTGAATGTCGATCCTGCTCATCTCCTTGGCATTTCCAAAGGAGACGTTGGGATCAGGGATGGGCAGCATGGTGGGCTGGTTGTTCTTGGAGAAGGCATACCTTAAGGAAGACACAGAGTGTTTAAAAGGACCAAAGGTTCACATCAAGAACCAACAGGCAGAGCAGCTCCTCTCACTTGTGGTACTGCATGACTGAGTTGTAATCATACGGAGTGCCCTGGTTCAAGGTGGCGATCTTCCTGAAGTTGTGCTCCATTCCTGATGAAATAAAACAGATGATGTTGTCTAGGATTAGCTTGCAGATGCGGACTCACTCAGCCAGACGAGACGGCTCAATGCAACCGACATAAAAGTAAAGCAGAAACGTTTCTGTTTGACTTAAAGGAGACCAACAATCTAAAACTGGGCTTTGAGCCTCTAAAAAGCGTAAGACACTTTCTTTTGGCTTTCATCTGTCCCAGGAGCCCTGCTACAGGCCCTTAACCTGCTCTGAAACAAGCCGTTTACCGCTCCCACTCGGCCACGACATGAACATGATCACGAGTTGCTCGCCGATTGGTTGGTTGCTTGGTTTCTCCAGGCCTCAGAGCCAGAAGGTAGCTTTCCACGAAGCTTGAAGCCGCTGTCACAGCCGTGAGTCTCCTCATAATGTGTTCAGAAAAAGGATTCATCTGGCGTTCTACCTTCCATGTTTGAACCTGACTCAGGAAGAGCAGTGGTTGCACCAGGAGCTGGGTGTCTTGTGGGACGTGGTTTAAAATGAAATTCAACCATTTCTGTCGGCTAGGCCTACGACCACTCCTGGAACACAACAGGCTTTCTTCTTTTAGCGTAGAAGAGAAGTTCTAAGGGAGGAGCTACCGCTAACATCCTCCGTTCCTCCTGCGGGTGCGTTTACTTTACATATGGTGGAGGCTGGAGGGGTGGAGCTCGTGTTCGTAAGGCTGTGAGGAGGAAGGGCTCCACGTAGTGGCATTATGATGAAGGGTTTCTCAGAAGAGAAGCTGTTCTCTCACATGTTTAAACTTTCTAACTTACATAAACTGTGGGTCTCACACGGCTTTGACCTTTGGGCCTGCTACCGTTGACCACCCAAGCTGTCTTTATTCAACAAGGAAAATGTCTGTTTGCTCTCCTTTAATACATCTTCCTGTGTTTGACAGACAGTTTAGATCTCCAGCTCTTGCTGCACCTTTAGCTTCATGAGGGCTCTGACTTTAGATCAGCCCAGCCGCTTCTCTGCTGGGTTTTATCCAGACAGCGTGAGGAGAAGCTGCCTTACCAGACTGAACGTTTTGCAGCAGGACTCTGATGTGGTTGTCCCTGTCAGAACGAGTCTGCTCATGGTTGAAGCCCAGAGCATGGAGCAGCTCATGCTGGACGGTGCCGTGATAAAGGCACCCCTGCCTGGCCAGGGACACCACCTGCTTGCCGCCACGACGACCAACAAAGGAGTAGCACCTGGACGGGGTGAGAGGTGAGCTGAATTTCAGACGAGGCCCTGTGTTCCACACAAACTGCTCTTCAGGACGAGACCTTTACCCATTTTGGGACTCAATGCTGAGCCAGTCCCGGTCGCTGCTTCTGCTGGGTCGGAAGCGGATGCAGGAGAAGGAGGAGAAGGACTCCAGTCCACGGACGATGATGGCCTTTTCACGGTCACCTGGCAGGATTTTAAAACAGACCAGAAAACAGGTCAGTCAGAGCGGTTTATCTTGTGATGATCAAACCAGCAAAGCTCTAGAAGCACAAAGTCCTGATGGGTTTTCAGCAAACCCAACAGTGCCGAGCTCAGTCAGGAAAAAACCCACAACCAGAACCTTCTGTTCTGTCCCTTAGAGCCGGCTTTATGAAAAGTCTGAATCCAGATTTGTTGTCTTTTATACGTTAAATTCAGTTTGTAGAGCTCTACAGAGCCAGACTCCTGGCTGGTGGAGCACTCGGTTCCCTCCAGACCCAGATAAGCATCTAGGGTTCTGGTACAAAAATGACCCTGTTGGAGGAAACTAAACTCTACCCACAGCAGAACCTGTTAAGAACAGCTCGAGGTGAGCATGTTCTGCGGTTCTGGGCCCGGTGTGACACTCACTGAAGTGGCTGGCAATGTAATAAGGAACGTAGACCATCCCGTCAGTGTATTTGCCCCACAGGCAGCCCTGGCTGGTACAGGGATCAGCATTCCTCTCATCCTCGCTGCCAATAGCGATGTCTCCTTCAACCAAGATGGGTTCACCTTCAGAACGGACTAAAACACACAACAGCAACACGTCAGCGCTCACCCAGGCTGTGAGGGAAGAGGAGCCATCAGTGCACCAGCAGCTCAGACTCACTCAGGTTGCTGTTGGCTCTCTCCAGGAGTTCAGACACAGAAAGGTCCTCCACAAGGTCGTCTGCTCAGGAACAACATTTTATCAACACATCAGCCACATGGAGCAAGTTCAATGTGTCGGTAGAAAGAACCGTACCTGTCTGACGCTGCAACGTGGGGTGGGGGGGGGGGGGGGGGGGGGGTAAAGAGAGGTGTGAGCACAACAGAAACAAGGACTTCTACTAAAACAGCTTCAAGTAATGTTTTTGACATCAGCATCAACACTCCCTCCTCACCATCCTTAGTTAGGAGATTATCATCTGCAGCTCTGTTAAAAGGTGAGACTTCACCTGACAGAACCAGAACTCTCTCACTAGGTCCACACTAAACCTGTCTGAATGGCTTTTATTTAAGACAGTCCAGCTTCCAGATGTGTTGCTGGCAGTCATGATGAAGTCCTACCTCCACATCTGCCCAACAGCAGGCAGAGAACAGCAGCAGCGCCAGAGCGGGGAGAAGAGACCGGAGACACATCCTGTTACACCTGCAGGACACAAACACTCAGCTACAGCCTCTGGAACGCACGCACACACACACACACACACACACACACACACACACACACACACACACACACACACACACACACACACACACACACACACACACACACACACACACACACACACACACACACACACACACACACATGTAGACCTGGCTGCAGCAGAGCTCACCTTGGATCAATGTGGACCAGTGGAGTGGAGAGGGAGCTGCTGGACTCGGGTATTTAAGCTGCTTCGTATCAGAGTGGAGGCGGTTTTATCAGGTCCTGGAAACGGGCCTCTCAGAGACCTTGACATTGAACCCCCCCCCCCCCCCCCCCCCTCCCCCCAAACGGACCTGTTTCTGTGCAGTAGCACACGTGCACATCTTTTAAAGTGCACATCTTTTTCTTGTGGGACTTTGAACCCAAAGCATGGACATGCTCTTCTTTTGCTCTGCAGTTGTGTTTTGAAAGGTCATGTATCATCACACTGAGCTTCAGACAACAACAATGTTTAGAGGACAATTGTAAAGGTGCAATATTAGTCCTCCATCACAACTGAAGAAAATACAAATGTTTGATCACTCATATAATCCTGAATACTTTTAATCAATCCTCTGTATGTTAATCCTCATATTCATGTCAGTGTTCCTATGTTACCCATGTACCTTTAAGCTGTATGATGCATACGGGTACATAAAGTGTGCAGGCTTGAAACACAATCTTGTCTGATTAAAGATTTAACGAACTGGGAAGGTGGAAAAACGTTTTGAGGAGTTACAGAAGACCAGTTATTTCCTGCAATTTCAGCCGTTAACTTTATTCTTTCTCCCCACAAGAAGCTACAATGATGTTCTGCTGAGCTGAGGTGGCCTCATGGAGGGTAACAAGGTGGCGCCTGTGCTTGGCTTAGCCGCGGTCACCGTCCACTTTTTCAAACTTTTCTCCACTAACCTTCTCTTTTCCACCTTGCTCCTGTCTGTGATCCTCTTCAGTAGTGTCCCTGCTACCATCTCCTATGATCGCCAGACTCTTCTGTCCTTCCGTTCGTTCACGATCGCCCAAGATGCACCGAGGACGTACCTCCCTGTTTGTTTATCTGAGTGGCGCACTGGCCCGGAGCCAAACGACGATTCCAACCAGGGCGCCTCCAGCGATGTTTATCTGGTCCCGGGAAAACGTCGGAGGAAAAGAGGTAAAAGAGCAGGAATCCAGGTGAGAATTAGACTTCTCTTAAAGCGTGGTTTATCTGGTAAACATTGTTGTGATCTTCTAGCTTCTTGTCCTTTGTTTGGCGACTTGAGCGCCACTTCCGCATTTCCGCCAGGCCGCTTGGGACGCGGTTTCTCCGTACAAGTTTATTAAGGTCGGTTTCTCCTCATTCCTCAGTGGTTTCTCCTCCTGTTCCCTCCATAAGTGGTTTTTATAAACACCGTGGATCTAACCCTGCTAATTTACATCCACTAACTCCAGCTGTTTCTGTAGTTTCTGATTCCTCCACCTCACTCAGCATGGCTCTATTAAATACCCGCTCTGTTAACAATAAGTCCTTCCTGCTCAATCATTTATCTCTCTCTGAAAACCTGGATTTCCTGTTTCTGACTGAAGTTTGGCAGTAAACATCTGATTATTCTGCTCTGATTGAACTTTGCCCGAGTGGTTATTCTTTTCGTAGCCAGCCCCGGGGTTCTGGTCGTGGTGGAGGCCTAGCTGTTGTTTTTAGAGACCATCATCCATGTAGCTCTACAACCTCTGGTCACTTTGCTTCCTTTGAACTGCAGCTGATTAAAGTCGGGCGTAAGGAACCGTTCTACTGTGTTGTGGTATATCGTCCACCTGGTCCAAATAGTTCTGTCCTTCAGGAGTTTAGTGACTTTCTATCCTCCACTGTGAAGCTGTCCAGACTGGTGATTGTTGGTGACTTTAACATCCACGTTGATGATCCCTCTGATCACTTTGCCATGAATTTCTCCAGCCTTATGGACTCCTTCAGCTTTACCCAGCATGTTTCTGGCCCCACACACACCAGGGGACACACTCTAGACCTTGTTTTTACCCTGAGTCTAAATGCTGACAGTGTTTGTCCTGAGGACGTTTATATTTCAGATCACCATTGCATTTTCTTTAACTTGTCAGTTTCTGCGTCCCCACCTCCTGCTCGCCGTATGGTTAGTTCTCGTTTTCTTAATGAGAGCACAGCTAACAATTTTTCTGCTGCTTTTGATCCACCCTGTTCTTCTGATAATGACCCAGATTCCTGAACTTCTCAGTTTAACGAGCACTGCCTCTCCATTCTGGACAATATCTGTCCTGTCAGAACCAGATCAGTTCCTGCAGTGAACCCTACTCCCTGGTTTAATGACAGCCTTCGCAGCCTAAAGCGCCAATGCAGAAAAATTGAGCGCTTGTGGAAGAAAACCCATCTCCACGTCCATCTGCTGCACCTAAAGGATATTCTGACAGCCTTTAACTCTGCAGTCAGAGACGTGAGGGTTTCCTATTTCTCCAACCTGGTGTCCCAGAGCAAAGGGAACCCCAAGGTGCTGTTTAACACCATCAGCAGCATCGTCTCTCCTGCCTCTCCTACAGCCTCCGTCCACTCTGTTGCAGACTGTGAGAACTTTCTGTCTTTCTTTGTGGACAAAGTCAATAAGGTTAGATCTAGCATCTCTCCTTCAGCCTTATCGCTGCCTCTCCCGACTCCAGCCAGGCCCATCATCCTAGATAGCTTTGCTCCTGTTTCTTTGCCTGAGTTAACCAAACTAGTTAACTCTATGAAGACCTCTGCATGCCACCTCGACATCTTACCCTCATCTTTGTTTAAAAGTGCTTTTCAGTCCATCGGTCCCAGCGTGCTCTCTATAATTAATGCTTCTCTGGTCTCTGGTCAGGTCCCTGCTTACTTTAAGAATGCTGTAATCCACCTACTTCTTAAAAAACCGAGTCTTGACCCCTCTCTCCATAGCAGCTTCAGACCCATCTCTAAACTTCCATTCATCTCCAAGATCTTGGAAAAGGTTGTGGCTAAACAACTCGCAGCTGCTCTTGATGATCTATGATAGCTTACAGTCAGGTTTTCGTAGAGCTCATTCTACTAAAACAGCTCTTCTTGGGGTCTCCAATGACCTTCTGACTCACAGTGATGCAGAGGACTGTTCTGTTCTGGTCCTGCTGGACCTGACTGCAGCCTTTGACACTGTTGACCATCACCTGCTACTGGAGAGGCTGAGAGACTGGGTAGGCCTATCATGAACTGCTCTGGAGTGGATCTCCTCTTATCTTCCTGAGCGCTCCTTTTCTGTGGCCGACTCCAAGTTTAGGTCCTCCACTACCTCTCTTACCCATGGTGTCCCACAAGGTTCTGTGCTGGGGCCTCTGCTCTTCCTCCTCTATCTGCGTCCTCTTCAGCACATCCTGAGCTCCTTCAAAGGAATCTCCTACCATCTTTATGCAGATGACTTCCAACTGTACATCTCCTTTAAGCCCCATGAGATGTCTAAGCTGCAGCTGTTACACACCTGCTTAGACTCTATCAAAACCTGGATGGCTGGGAGCTTTCTTCAGCTGAATGAAGATAAGACTGAGATCCTCATCTGTGCCCCAGACAAGCTTGTTCCCAAACTCAGAGACTCTCTTGGCCAGCTTGCTTCTCACACCAGACCTTTGACCCAGCTCTCACCCTGGATTCTCATGTCAGTTCTCTTGTTCGCTCTTCCTTCTTCCATCTCAGGAACATTGCAAAGCTGAGTCCCATTCTGTCTCGCTCTGAACTTGAGAAAGTTCTCCACACCTTCATCTCCTCACGCTTAGACTACTGCAACTCTCTTTTCACGTGTCTGAGCAGAACCTCCCTGAACCTTCTACAGGTAGTTCAGAATGCCTGTGCTCGGCTTCTGACCAAGTCCTCCAAACACACCCACATCACCCCGCTTCTCCTCCAGCTTCACTGGCTGCCAGTCAACTTCAGGGTTCATTTCAAGAACTTGGTTCTGGTCTATAGGGCCTTACATGGACAAGCACCATCTTACATTGGTGATCTTCTTAGTCCCTACACCCCCAGCAGGTCCCTGAGGTCCAGTAATCAAAGCCTACTGGTTGTGCAGCACCAGGCTAAAGACCAAAGGTGACAGATCATTTGCTGCTGTGGCCCCCAGACTCTGGAACTCTCTCCCCCTGAGCCTGAGATCAGTGGACTCAGTGGTCTCCTTTAAACTCACCTGTTCAGACTGGTTTAGGTATGACCTTCTTCACCCTCTCTTTATTCTGCTCTCCCCACCTATTCCACCTTCCTCAGGATCCACTAATTTCCCTCTTTCTTATTAACTCTCTCTCTCTTCCAATCACAATTGTCTATTATTTGCTGATTTAAAATATATTTTTAACCATTTTCTAAATTCTTTTTTATATTTTACATTTTTTGTTTTCGTGAAGCGCCTCATGATTTTTATCTTGAGAGGCGCTACAGAAATGATCTTTTCTTCTTCATCGGCTAGCACACTGCTGCTAACCACTAAAACATTCTCCCTCTCCCGATAATAACACTTTACTCTCTTTGACCTTGAATGTGCTACTACTAGTTTACCCGTTTAATTATAGATCCACTAGGATAAATAAAACAAAGTTTATCTCTCACCAAATGGAATATTTACTAAGAAATCACAATGTAACCATAGAAACACTACTTGGTAGTTATGTTGTGTGTGTGTGTGTGTGTGTGTGTGTGTGTGTGTGTGTGTGTGTGCGTGTGCGTGTGTAGGTGTGTGTGTGCGTGCGTGTGCGCGCGCGCTTGTGTGTGTGTGTGTGTGTGTGTGTGCGTGTGCGTGTGTGTGTGTGTGTGTGTGTGTGTGTGTGTGTGTGTGTGTGTGTGTGTGTGCGTGTGCGTGTGTAGGTGTGTGTGTGTGTGCGTGCGTGTGCGCGCGCGCTTGTGTGTGTGTGTGTGCGTGTGTGTGTGTGTGTGTGTGTGTGTGTGTGTGTGTGTGTGTGTGTGTGTGTGTCTGC